AGTAAATGATGTGAATGTATCAAAATATTATGGTACATATACACAATCAAATTCTATGCAACAGAAAGAAAGCAGGAACTCCTACCCTTTGGAACAGCATGGATAGAACTGGAAAAGCATTATGCTGAGTAAAGTAAGCCAGGCATTGAAAGACAAATACCATATGATCTCTCCTTTAACAGGAAACTAAACAACAATACAATAAAGCAAGCAAAATAAAAACAATGACTCTGAAATAGAGAACAGGGGGACAGTAACTAGAGGGGAGAGGGGAGGGAATTTCAGGGGACAGAGGGGAAGGATTTAAAGAAAGTAGTATAAAGGACACATGGACAACAACTAAGGGGGTTGAAATGGGAGGGAGGTGGGGAGCAAGGGGGGGTCTGAGATTTGAATAAAAGATAGAAAACTGTACTCAAAAAATAATTGAATTTTAAAAATCTTTAAAATAAATAAAATAAGAATAAAAAGGTGAAAAAAAATAAATTTTAAAAATGAAAATTATTTTAAGGTTACAGAATCTTCTTTTATCTCTCTTTAATATTTTTTCTATTTAAGTATTGGATTTTTTCTTATATCTCTTTTCTATTTCTACCACATCATGACACTGTGATACTGTTGACAGCCTGTTCTGGTTATATGGGGCCTGAAGTATATATAAAATTTCCTGGAGGTTCTAGCCAAGATTGAGGCATAAGTAGATACACTCTGCCACCTTGCACAACCAAAACAAGGATAATAAGCAGTTTAAAAACAAACAACAACCAAAGCTGTCAGAAAATGAAACTGTGTGAAGTCTTACAACAAATAAAATTAAAGAAGAAACAATCATGCAGACTGGACTACAATGCAGTTAAGTGGGTTGCCCCACCTTGACAAATACCTAAGGCTTCACCTCTCAGATTGTAGCAGATGCATTGAGACAAAGAATTATGGCCCAAATGGAAAAATAAATCAAAACCCCATAAAAAGAACTAAGCAACAAAGAGATAGATTGTCTATCGGATGTACAATTCAAAACACTGTTAATCAGGATGCTTACAAAAATGATTCAGTATGGCCACAAAATAAAGAAAGAAATGAAGGCTATACAAAATGAAATAAAGAAAAATATACAGGGGACTGAGACTCAAATCAATGATTTGAAACAAAAGGAAGAAATAAACATCCAACCTGAACAGAATTAAGAAATAAAAATTTTTGTTTGTATGAACAGAAGCTTAGGGACATCTGGGACAACTTTAATCTATCCAACATCCAAATCATATGAGTACCAGAAAAAGATGAGGAAGATCAAGAAATTGAAAACTCATTTGAAAAAAATAATGAAGAAGGACTTCTGGCCAAGATGGAGGTATAGGTAGACACACTGTGCCTCTTAGCACAACCAAAAGAAGGACAACAACAAATTTAAAAACAAAAACCAACCAGAACTGACAGAAAATTGAACTGTGTGGAAGTCTGACAACCAAGGAGCTAAAGATGAAACATTCATCCAGACTGGTAGGAGGGTGTGTGAGACAGGCAGCCAGGCAGAGAGAAGGTGGCAGTTGGAGGGCCAGGACAGGCAAGGCTGCAGCTGGAGGATGTGGGTGAGCAGTTTCACATTTGCAGGCAGATAAACCAGGAGGAACAACTGCAGAGCAAGACAGACTGTGCAACCTAGGGTCCCAGCACAGGGAATAAAGCATCAAACCTCTGACTGAAAATACCTGTGGGTGTTATGGTGGTGGGAGAAACTCCCAGACTCACAGGAGAGTTCGGAGAGACGCACAGGGTCCTAGACTGTACACAAGCCCACTCACACAGGAATTAGCACCAGAAAAGCCCAATTTGTTTGTGTGCAGTGGGGGAAGTGACTGGAAATAAGCAGAGAGTGGAGCAAGCACCATTGTTCCCTCTCAGACCCCTAGCCACAGTGCAATGACCTGGGTTGCCCTGCCCAGGTGAACACCTAGGGCTCCACCCATTACTATGTAACAGGCATGCTGAGACAAAAAATGGCCCAAATGAAAGAACAGATCAAAGCTCCAGAAATAATACAACTAAGCAATGAAAAAGTAGCCAACCTATCAGATGCACAGTTTGAAACACTGGTAATCAGGATGCTCCCAGAACTAATTCAGTATGGTTCTGAACTAGAGAAAAAGTGGAGGCTATGCAAAGTGAAATAAAAGATGTACAGAGAACCAATAGCGATGGGAAGGGAACTGGGACTCAAATCAATGGAGTAGACCATAAGGAATAAAGAAACACCCAATCAAAACAGAATGAAGAAACAAGAATTCAAAAAAATTAGAAGCTTAGGAACCTCCATGACATCTTTAAACACTCCAACTTCCAAATTTTAGGGGTAGCAGAAGGAGAAGAGGAAGAGCAACAAATGGAAAAGTTATTTGAACAAATAATAAAGGAGAACTTCCCCAAGCTGGCAAAGAAAGTAGAATTCCAGGAAGTCCAGGAAGCTCAGAGGGCCCCAAATAAATTGGACCCTAGGAAGAACACACCCATGCACATCATAATTGCTTTACCCACAATTAAAGATAAGAAGAGTATCTTAATAGCAGCAAGAGAAAAGGAGACAGTTACCTACAAAGGAGTTCCCGTCAGACTGTCATCTGATTTCTCAAAAGAGACCTTACAGGCAAGAAGGGGCTGGAAAGAAGCATTCCAAGTCATGAAATGCAAGGACCTACATCCAAGGTTACTCTATCCAGCTAAGCTTTCATTTAGAACAGAAAGGCAGATAAAGTGTTTCTCAGATAAGGTCATGTTAAAGGTGTTCATCATCACCAAGCCTTTATCATATGAAATGTTAAAGGGACTTATCTAAGAAAAAGAGGATTGAATCTATGAACAGTAAAATGACAACAAACACAATTATCAATTGAATCTAAAAAAAAGAAAACAAACTGAGCAAACAAGTAGCAGAAACAAATTTACAGAAATGGAGATCATGTGGAAGGTTATCAGTGGTGAGAGAGTGGAATAGAATGGGGAAAAAGGTTACGGGGAGTAAGAAGCATAGTTAGAAAGTGCAAAATAGATGGAGGGGCAGGTAAGAATAGTATTGGAAATTTAGAAGTCAAAAAACTTATTTTTATGACCCATGAGCATGAATTATGGTGGGGGCCAATGCTGGTGAAAGGGGGTTGCAGGGTAGAAGGGGATAAGGGGAAGAAAATGGGGAAGCTATAATACCATAATCAATAAAATATTCTTTAAATTTTTTTCTGACTATTATGGAACATAGCTTGTCTTATGCGTTTCACTGCTCTTTTTTTGCCACAAAGGAAAACTCCACTAGAATTTTTACTTGGAGACGTATTTAGATTGTGAAGAAGTAATGCCCTCTGGGAACTTGTAAACTCAGTGCAATCCTATTGAAACTACCAGAGAAACTTAAAAAAGTGATTTTAAAATCCATGTAGATTTATAAAGGAAAAAACCCTATATGCTCCTATGTAAAATAAATTATCAATTTCATAAAATAAGATTTATTTAAGGCTATACAAACTAAAGTAATGTTGCATTCATACAGGGTCAGGCAGGAAAAAACACATCCTAGAAACATACCTACGCATGTATAAGCATTCCTAATTGGAGGCAGAGCTGGCATGCAGATCAATAGTAATACAAAGGACTTTCAATGAATGGTTCAGGGATAATTGGTCATCTACAGAAAAATATAAAGATAAAATACCTCACACCATACCCAAAACAGACTGATGAAACAAACAAACATAAAGAATAGATTAAAAACTTAACTGTGAAATATAAAACCATAGAATTTGTAGCAAATAATATGAGAATACCTTTATGACTTTGGGTTAGTTAGGAGTTTTTAATTCAAAAGAGGCACAGCTGTAAGAAAATTAAATTTTAATTAAAATGTAATTATATTTTAATTAAAATTTAATGTTAATAAAACAAAATAGAGAGAAAAGACAGAGTGGGAAAAGATTCTTGCAGCATACACAATAGACATGGGGGTAGTGTATAGAATGTATAAAGTATACCAAAAATGCTAGCAAAAAGAAGAAAAATGGAAATCAACCCAACAGATGAAGAACATTGAAGAGGACAAAACATTATTTTAAATTCAAATGACTAATCTTCAAACTAATTAGGAATAAGAAAGCTGCAAATCAAATAAAACACCTTTTTCATGCTCATAGAACTGAAACAAATTAAAAACCTTGGTATTATCAAGGACTTGCAAAGATATGCAGAAATGAGGACAGTTTGTGGAAAGATTGTCAGTTACTACAATCTTCCTGAGAAAAATTTTTTACTATCTTTTGTTAAAGTTGTGGACACACTATGGCCCATCAAATCCACCGTTTACATATATCCCACAGAGAAACACTTGCTCTTCTATTTGTAGAAGAACATTAATAGAAGCTTGGATTATGATAGTGTGCATGCATGCATGCACACACAAACATTAAAATAGGAAGCAACTAAAATTTTCTCAAGAAGGAAGTAAAAAACTAAAATGTGGTATCTCCAGTAAAAGGACAAAGTTTGCATCAGTGTCAATGGAGGATTAACAGCTACATAAAAACTGTGACTAAGTCTCAGGAACATAGTGTTTGGTAAAAAAAAAATGGCAGCAAAGAATGATTCCACTTATACAATGTTTCATATTATATAACACTAAGTATTACATTTTATGGATACATCTATATACGATAAACCTATCAAGAAAATATTGGAATAAAATAAATGAATTAATATGAGTGGATGATAGGAGACCTTCAAGTTAGTGTTGTTTTTAAAATCTATGTAATGGAAAAAGCCTTTTCAGTTTACAACTTACTCTGCCTTAATATGTCCACTACACATGCTTGTTTTTAGCACCACAGACAAGTGTTATTGAACCCAGCTTCTCCAGTGATTTATCTGAAGTTAGTCCATGCCTTCCCAATGCATTATCCATATTTCTTCAGGTAAATCTACTAGACACACAGGTGTCCTTACTTTAGAATTCAGTGGCTGTGCTCCCTTCTACAGCACATATACTAAAATTGGAATGATACAGAGAAGATTAGCATAATCCCTGCGAAGTATGACATGCAAATTCATGAAGCATTCCATATTATTTTTAAAACTGGAAGGCCAGCCCTTGCTGGTGTAGCTCAGCAGATTGAGCATGGGCCTGCAAACCACACGATCATAGTTCGATTCCCAGTCAGGGAACATGCCTGGGTTGCAGGCCAGTTCCCAGCAGGGGATGAATAAGAGGTAACCATACATTGATATTTCTCTCCTTCTCTCCTTCCCTTCCTCTCTAAAAATAAATAAATAAGTAAAATCTTTTTAAAAAATGGAAGGCCAAATAAGAACCCCCCCAAAGACTAAAAAAATATACTGCAGTGAGAGAGAGGAAAACACAGATACAAAAAATGGTAATGAATAAGTACCTATTAATAATAACCTTATATATAAATGAATTAAATCCCCCACTCAAAAGAAGAGCTGAATGGATAAGATAGCATGATCCACACATATGCTGCCTACAAGAGACCCATGTCAGGACAAAAGACCTACACAGAGTAAAAGCGAGCAGCTGGAAACAAACATTCCAAGTAAATGGACAGGAAAAAATCTGGGGTAGTAATATGAATATCAGACAAAACAGACTACAAAAAAACCCCAAACAAACATAAAAATAGACCCAGAAGATCTCTTCATAACACTCAAGGGAAGATTCCACCAAGACATAAACATTGTAAATATATATGCACCCAACATAGGAACACCCAAATATATCAAGAAAATGTTGGAGGACTTCAAGAAAGATATTGACAGCAGCACAATTATAGTAGTGTATTTTAACACCCCACTGTCAAAAATGAACAGATTTTAGAAAAAAAATCAACAAAGATATTGTGGCATGGAACAATGCTGTAGATGAAATGGACTTAACTGATATATATAGAGAGAGCCTTTCATCCAAAAGAAGCAAAATACACATTCTTTTAAAATGCATGCAGAACATTTTCAAAGATAGACCACATGATAGGACACAAAACGAGCCTCAACAAATTCAAGAACATTGAAATCATATCTAGCATTTTCTCCAACCACAAGGGATTAAAACTAGCAACCATCCTCAAGGGAAAAAATGCAAAACACTCAAAATCATGGAGAAATGGCATGCTATTAAACAATGAATGTGTCAAGAATGAAATTATGGATAAAATCAAAGAGTTTCTGGAAATAAATGAAAATGAACTCATGACAAGCCAAAATTTATGGGTCACAGTCAAGGCAGTCCTGAGAGCGAAGTTCATTTAGCAATACAGGCCTACCTAAAAAAGATAGAAACATTTCAAATTAAAAATACCTAACTCTATGCCTACAATAATTTGCACAAAAACAAAGAGAGCTCAGATCAAGAAGGGAAATAACCAAGATGAGAGCAGAATTAAATGACATAGAGAATAAAAGCACAATTCTAAGGATCAATAAATCTAGGATCTGGTTCTTTGAAAAGATAAACAAAAATGTTTGTTTGTTAAATGATTATAATATTAAAGACCCAATGACATATTTCACAGACATTGAATAAACATTTCAGAAATTTATATGGAAACATAAATGGTCCCAAAAACCTGCAGCAATTTTGAAAAAGAAAAAGCAGGATGGATCACAATACCTGATATCAAACTGTATTACAATGCCATTGTAATTAAAACTACTTGGTAATGACATAAGAACAGACACATGGACCAATGGAACAGAACAGACAGCCTAGAAATAAACCCAAGTCTTTTTCATCAATTAATACTTTACAAAGGGAGAAGAAGCATAAAATGGAGTAAAAAGAGTCTCTTCAACAAATGGTGTTTGGAGATCTGAACAGAAACATGCAAAAAAATGAAACTCAATCACCAACTTACAACATACACAAAAGGTAATTCAAGGTGGATAAAAGACTTAAATATAAGTTGTGACACCATTGAAGTCCTATAGGAAAATATTTTCACAAAAATCTCAGACATTCCATGCAGCAACATCTTCACTGATATACCCCCTTAAGCAAAAAACATAAATGGAATAAATAAATGGGACATCATCAAATTAAAAGGCCTCTGCATGGCTAAGGAAAACAGCATTAAAATGAAAAGAGAACAAACTACATGGGAAAACATATTTGCCAATGATACCTCAGACAAGGTTTAATCTCCAAAATACATAACAAACTCACATGATTCCACTCCAGGAAGACAAAAATTTTTTTAAATGGGCAAAAGAATTGAACAGACACTTCTCCAAGGAGAACATACAGAAAGCCCAAGGATATATGAAAAGATGCTCAGCACCACTTGCCATGAGACAGATGCAAATTAAAACCACAATAAGATACCACTTCACACCATTGAAAATGGCCATCATAAACCAAGAGACAAGCATTGGAGACGTTGTGAAAAAAGGGAACTTGAGTTCCCTCTTGGTTGCAATGCAGACTGGTGCAGCCACTGTGGAAAACAGTATGAACTTTCCTCAGAAAATTAAAAGTAGAACTGCCTTTTGGCTCAACAATTCCACTGCTGGGACTATATCCTAAGAACCCTGAAACACCGATCCAAAAGAACCTATGCACTTCAATGTTCAGAGCAGCACAATTTACAACAGCCAAGTGCTGGGAGCAACCTAACTTCCCATCAGCAAATGAGTGAATTAAAAAACAGTGGTACATTTACACAATGAAATCCTATGCAGCAGAGAGAAAGAAGGGGCTCCTACCCTTTGTGACAACATGGGTGGTACTGGAGAGCATTATGCTAAGTAAAATAAGCCAGACAGTGAGGGACAAATACCATATGATCTCATCATATGGTCAAATACCTTTAACAGGAACATAATCAACAAAAAAATAAAGCAAACCAAATATACCTAGAGACATTGAAATTAATAACAATCTAACGATAGCCAGTGGAGAATGGGGAGGGAACCATAGAGGGAAAGGGTTTTCAGGAACTACCTAAAAAGACACATGAGCAAAACCTAGAGGGAGGGTGCAAGCAAGGGAGGGAGGTGGCTTTGGCTGGGGTCAGGTGTCGTGGTGTGGAGAAAATGCAAACAACTGTAATTGAACAACAATAAAATAATTAAAATTAAAAAAAGCATTCAGTGGCTGATTATTGATAAGAGATCCTGCTCTCAGTGCCCACTTTGTGTGGTCTTTCTTCCCCTCTGTCACATTTCAGCTGACCTACAAGATGGGGTTCTTGAGTGGTATGTAGGATGATCCATTTCTGTTGTGTCATCTGTTGAGTTATGCATTGCTTACCAAAGGAATAAATAAAGCCCCTTCCACCTTCCTCTTACCCTAGTATTACTTTCTGTGGAGAGTTGCTGACAAGGCTTCTTAGAGAATGAAAAAATTCAACACTGATAGGCAAGAGCATGGCTAACTGGATAACAATGGTGATGTATGCAAAAACGTGGTGAGTAATATGTGTTTAAAGTAGGATAGAACAAATTAGTGAGAGAGGAACTGTACATGTGGGAATTAGACTCAAATGTAAATGACAATGGTGGAGAATTTTCAAGAAGGTTGGAGAGTTAAGAAGATTTCACCGGATGTGTTTCTAAAATAGGGATTCATGTGCTAAGTAGAAGAAAAACAGTCTTTTTTAAGTATGCAGAATAAGCTACAATGAACTTGAAAAATAAGAATTTAATCCCCTCCCTGGCAGAGCTCCAAAAATAGTGGGAGCCATCCCAAAAGGTTGGGTCATTTAACAATGTCACGAAAGTGGGTACATAACACATTGTAGTAATGTGGTGAAAAATGTCCTCAGAAGTGACTTGAACAACAATTAAGATAAAAAAATGCAGCAAAGGAAAAATGTGTTCCCAGAAGTGTTAGGTCTTAGACCAAATTCTGATACTATGTGTTGTCTTTGCTCTTTTCTTTTACTTTGCTTCAAGTATAAAGAGCACATCTATCCATGCATCCTTCCCTTCCAGTCCCTCAATCACTCCTGGGGCTACTGATGACATTATGTGTAAATGCTGTTTCTAAACACAAAAGGCATTTGTTAAATGTTATTACTTATAGTAGTTCTATAAATTATGCAATTAATAACATTAATTTAAAATATTTGCAGTTAAAATTATAACTAGTTGATAAAAGTAATTAACTTCCTAGCAATTCAGAAATGCTATTTATCATCACCTTCTTGTTATAAGAATATTCTTAAGATATTATCCTTATAGTTTAATGACAGCTCACAAATCATACATTTAAAGTTTGCTGCAAGAGAATTCTCACAATTTCCTGTATGGGTGGGGGGCAGTGAAAATACAGGGTAGAGGCTGACATTCCTGGTTTAAATTCATGCCTTGTTTTTACATTTTTTTTTTCATTCTCAGTCTATTGCAAGGGGCTGATTCCTTTAAATAAGTTCCATTACACAGGGTATATTTTAAAAGGCCATCCCACAAAATAATATTTGACAGGATTAGAGCAACTTTAATAGTACTTCCTCCCTGTCACGTAAGATTTGATTTAGCATTGGTGTACAGGATTTTCTTGACACCCTTAGCACCTTATGTGCCCCAAGCACAGGTGCAAAACAGATCTTCCCAGATCTGTGAGCTGGTCTTTTTTAAAATTTTTGCAAAGTATTTATTGTTTTTAGTACAATTTGTACAATTAAGTGTCTAAATATTTACAGCTTTGCCTATGACATCAGCTTTGTGTTGGGTTTCTCCATTAGTCTATTCTGGAACCTGTGTCGCGCTGTCTATATTATTGTAGCTTTAAAACAAGTCTTGAAATCATTGGAGCAAGTTTTTCTTCCTGTTTATTTTTCTTTAAGAGTGGCTTCCTTATTTTTGGAATTTGTGTATGAATTTTAGCATTAGCTTACACAGTTCTGCAGCCATGTACACAAACACAAAGACATATTCCCACCAACAAAGCAATTAGGATTGCTTTGAAACTATAGATCAAGTTAGGAATAATTGAATTCTTTTTTTAAACTTATTTAATTATTGTTCAAGTATAGTTTTCTGTTTTTTACTCCATCCCAGCCCACCCCCCAGTGCTCCACACCTCCCTCCCATTTCCACCCCCCTTAGTTGTT